AGAGAGAGAGAGAGAGAGAGAGAGAGAGAGAGAGAGAGAGAGAGAGCAGAAAGTTATGTGGATAGGAGTTGGGGGAATCTGATAAGACTTCTAAGAGAAGGTTGATTAAGATAGACATGCATTGTATGAAATTGTCGAAGGACTGATAAAGAGTATTAAATAACAAAAATGATCTAATTAAAAATACTGTTCAAAAATATACAGGACTCTCATACTTTAGGCAAACTTCTTTCCCACAAAGCCCTACTTAAAGTTTTATAATTAACTATAGCTCATATGGCATCCTTTGTATTATTAAAAGAATTATCGCAATATTGTTACTAAAACATTCTGTATGATGATATGTTTGCTAAGGAATACCAAACTTCACTTAAATTAGAGTTCCTAAATATCTTATTTGAAGAAAATTATTGAGAACTTAGATTTGGAGAAATTAAAAAAATTATGCTTAGCTGAACACATTATGGTTAATTTTTTTTTAAAAAAATTATACCAGTTAGCCACACCTTTTGTTGGTTGACATCTTTTTTTAACACCCTTCACTCTGGGGAAGACCTGTGCATAGATAATCAGCTGATAGCCCACAGCGCTGGGGCATACAGCACACCAGACGTACAGGAGCAGACATACAGGAGCTCCTTCCAAGAAGGTTAACTTGCAGCCTAGTTGCTCAAGCTGAGCATGCAGCAGATACAAAGCACGGAAATAGGTAGCATTTCATTTACTTCTCAAATTTTCATTTTGGATTTTGGCTGGCAGGGCACAACCACATAGTTGAAGCCTCTGGTCTTTCGCAGGCTCTTGTTTCTCCTTCAGATCTCAGCGTCATATTTCTCTCAGTTAACTGACTGATTGGCCATGCCAGCGTTCCTCACAGCACAAGAACAGGACAGCCCATTTTAAAGAGATACATTGTGGATGGAAGAACTTCCTGTTGCCTTCCTGTAACTTGAGCCTTTACAGGAAGGGGCAGGCCAAAGCCAGCCAAGGAAGCCACCGAGATGGATTCCTCAACTCCCAGAGTGGTTCAACCTTCTGGTTTAATTTACTAGTTTTCAAAGATCGACTCCTATGAAATTACCTTGCTCGGAGATGATTGTTGGGAAACCCAGCTAGATCTTATTATAGAAAATTAATGAAGTTTTGGGCATGACCCCTTTGAAACATCTTTTTTTCCAAAGTAGAATATATAGAATGTAGTGCATATACATATATGTGTGTATGCTTGTATAAAAGTCTTTAGACAGTACATTAATCTATCTTAAAAATTAGTATTCTGCCACTCGGAGATAACTGCTACTTTTCTTCTATAAACATTTGTAGACATTTTCATATGGCCCTATAATATAAAACCAGAGAGACCTTTCAACAATAAAATCACAGGATGGGGTAGATGACTCAGTGATTAGGAGTACTTGCTGCCCTCCCAGGGGACTTGAGCTAAGTTTCCAGTACCTACATTGGGTGGCTCACAACCACCCATAACCCAAGAAGATCTGATGCCTTCTTCTGGCCTCCATTGGTACCCACATTCACATGTCATTTACTCATGCACACACACACACACACACACACACACACACACACACACAAGAATATAGAAATTTCATTGGGATTCCTCATTGTTTTTTATAATTTCATGTTACCTGATTTATTTGTAATTTTTCATGAATAAAAAAGTATGTGTATGTGATTATGATGTAAAAACATGTTTCAAGATTGGCACAAACCCACAACTCCATGACTTTGTCTTGCCTGTTTAAATACTTTTTTGTGGATGCTTGAAATGGAAGCCCTGCATAGAAGAGTCTATGCTTTCAGGAACTGTGAAAACATCTGCAAAATTGCTCTCCAGATATTTGCGTCAGTTGATGACTTGTCCACCACGATTTTGATTGGGTTCTAGATCTCCACAGATTTAGAAATCATGAGGGTGCAAATCAAAGCAAGGGACTAGAGACGTATCTTAGCGTGTTTGCCAGAGAGTCATGAAGACCCAAGTTTAGATCCAGGACCCACATAACAAGCTGCATATTTACAAATGCCTGTTAACCCCGGCTCTGCAGTATCCAATATCCTCTTCTGGCGTACCTATCCACATACTCATATATTCATACTCTCGTACAGACACAGGAAGGCACACATGTACACAGTCACACACACACACACACACACACACTCTCTATCTCTAACATACACACACATGCAATGAAACATTTTTGAGAGCAAAGCAGTGCTTTGAAGGAAATCTACTGAACACAATACCTTTAGGGTCATGGAACGTAATGGGGATTCCGTGGGTCTGCTCCCAGCTGCTGAGATGATCATCCACCAGAAGAGTCACTGTGTCACTAGTACATTTATTTGTTTAAGGCTATTGCTCCAATTTTCCTCTGTCAGTTTGTAGCTATATTTTAAACCCTCTTGCTGTGCATTTTTTTCTTAGATTGAGGAAGACACCTGGCAGAAATACTACTTGGAAGGAGTCTCCAATGAGATGTACACAGAGTATCTCTCCAGTGCCTTCGTGGGGCTGTCCTTCCCTACTGTTTGTGAGTAAGTGACTGTTGACTGGACACTCTTTGCCTCTCAGGGGTGTTTAATGGGTTTGTAAGGACAGCCTCTGGCCTCTGCTTGCTCTGGTTGGGACACTTGACTATCCCTAGGGCTCTTCTCTCAGTCCTGCATGTCTGCGGACAGGAAAGCATGTCCTGACAAGGTCCTGCCTTCTAGTGCTATGCTGTCTCTTACTTATCCTCTAGGTCCAAAAATCTTGAGATTGAAGCCCTGGTTTACACAAACTTAGAGTTTGTGCAGCTCGCCTGTACATCCTCTGTAACCCTACTGTGAGAGGGAAGTCTTGGAAAGGTGGCGTGAACTCAGGAGGCCCTTGGGTTTACTTTGTTTCGTTTATTTAGCTTTCTACTTATTGATGGTGCTAAAGTTTGAACCCAGGGCTTTACCTTCAGCACCTATCTGCTTTTAATACAGAGAAAAATCAAATCTTGCCAGTTCCAGGACAAAGGAATTTTAATCTCCCTTCTAATTAAGTCCTTGATATATAGACATCCAAAGTGCTTTGGCTATTTACGGAGGAACTATGCTGCCAAGTGCACAGAAGGTCCTTGAAAAGGTCCTGCACACAGCTGCCAGGATCAAATAGCATGACTCGGAACTGGTTCCCAGAGCACCTGCAGTAGGTCATACCCTGTACCCATGGAAGATCAGGAATTCCAGGTGTCCACCTTGAGGCACAACAGTACCCCCAGACTCTCCACTTAGACTCCCTCGACTGAAATAAAATCAAATAAGGGTCATGTCCCCCATATACTCTGAAAACAGCAGACCTCTAAGTCTGACCTGTTAGTGCCTGACTCCGTAGCAAAGGTCAATAAATGGTCTCATTGATGAAAACTGGGGAGAAACAGGTGAATCTAGGCTGCTAGCCAAGCCTATCACCTGGGATTCTAGAGCTGGAAATCTAACGATGCCCTTCAAAACTGAGAGCCCTTCATAGTAAAGGAAACCCAGGGTCTTTGGGACTCCTGTTCTGCTTTGTATGCAGAAGAGAGGGGTGGGGACTCCTGCCAGGGAGCACGGCAGGTGTTCTCTGCCAGTCTCCAGGCCCAAACCCCCAAGCACTCCAAGATGGTTTGGTTGTTTACAGAAATTTCTTGCCCTGTCTCTAAGCGATAGTTTAGATGCTAAATGAACTGGAAAAGTGAATAGGTAATTGATTCAGAAGGAGTTCTTTTCTGGAACCGGAAGCCCTGGTGTAACTCCCCGCCGTGAGCACCTTTCCCTGCAAGCAATGTCTCTTTTGAAGTTAACCATTCCGAGATGGTGGGAGGGTATCCTCCCCTGTAACTCAGATTGCTTTGGATGGGCAGTCTAGAGAAGTCAGAATATCCAGGGAACACACCAGGGCTCTTTAAGAAGGCCCTCGAAGCCCTCTGTGGTCAGTACAGGGGTGGTCAGGGCATCAAGGCAGAATTGGCAGCAGAATGGGGCCCTGTGATGTTCGGGGTGCCAGCTGGGAAGTTCCAAAGCTCTTACTCGGCCACCGATTTTCCCGGTTTAAGTGGTGTTGCACCTGCCACCTCCCAGGGAAGCTGTCTGTCTCCTGCAGCTTTTGTACCTTTTTCTTCCTCTTCCTCTGGGGGAAAAAGTCAGTTCTTTTAAAGACTAAGGGTGAGGACTGTCCCCTTAAGAGGCTATAACTGGGGTAGCACTGGACCCATGGACTTGGTCTTGTTTAGTTTGCTCAAGGCTCATTGCTGGTATTTCTGGACTATGTTATTTCACAAAACCAAACAAAGCAAAACCTGGATCTCCGAATTCTCCTTAAAATCAGAGTTGGCCACACCGGATTCATGTTTCTGGCTTCCACTTGCTTTAATGAAAGGACAGTGTAAACTTTCTCTAAGTCAGCTTAGAGTGACACCAACAGCCCAGGTCAACTCTGCCCTCTTCCAGCCACCAAACTCCATCAGCCTTTAGTACCAGCTCAGGAGTCAGGCAAATAGCAGCCGCGTCACCCAGTTACAGCCTCTAGGGGGAGCAGTTCTCACCTGTCATCTTTAAAAGGACTGACTTTTTCCCCTGTGGTAGAGGAAGAGGAGGGTGGGAAAGCTAGGTGTGCCAAGGCAGCTTCTGAGTGTGCTCTCTTGTCAGGCACGGCACTAGGAAATAGGAATTATTTCCCTTGATTGATTTTCATCTTTAGAGCATGCTCTAATGAGGGAAAAGATCTCTTAGACGTGCCTCGTTGTCAGTGAATTTAGTATTTGTTCAGTAAAGCTTTTGAATGAAAAAAAAAAAAGCAACTTCTGATGTGAGTGAGAATGTGTTCAGCCTGGTGCTATTATTCCTTTAATGCAGCAATTCGGCAGAGGTGGAACTAATCAATAAAGAAAGGACATTTAATGAGATTTAGGAACAACCCAAAACATTGAAGCTCTCTTCAAGCATTTGATTATCTTGAGGCTTAATTATCTGTGTTTTCTACTTTAAATTAAGGAAAAGCCATAACTCAAAGTTACCAGCAGTTTAATGATAACACTCTTCAATTCAGGTTAATTAAAGCGCAGCTGTAATTAGAGTGCGGCGTTGTATATCACTGGGCTGCCGCGTAAGTATTTTCATTACTGTAAGAATTGGCTATTCAATTTCAAGATGGCATAAAGGACGCCCAAATATATCTTAAGCCGGTTTGTGGAGACGGAAAAGGATCGGGGAATATTGTGGGTGTCATAAAGCACAGGTAAATATACATATCTTCAGAGTAGTCTCCATGGTTATGTACCTCACCAAAACAGTATGCCAGCGATGATGCTGCGAAGCATGGGAAGAAATGGTTTGCCCTTTCCCGGGCTGGCAGCAGCATGCCACCCAGTTTTCTCAGAAGTGAGGCAGAGCAGTCCCAGGAAGACAGCAGGCGGCAGATGCACAGGTGAACTGAAGGTCTTCTCTGAGGAAAACAGAAAGGCTGGTGCAGCGCAGGAGAGGCGGAGGGAGGCCTCCAAAGCCACTGTCATCAGGAGATCCTAGCCATGGCGTCAGCTTTTTTGCATCTACCCTGTGTGTGCCCAAAGCTGGGACATTGTTCCCAAGCCAGAATCTCATTTAGACAAAATGAACAATTGTATGTAGCCATTGTCTGCATTCATCTGCATATTCTCCCAGACACACAAAATAATGGAGTGATGTTCATAACGACAAGGCAAGGGCTGTCAGCATAATATAAACATCTCATTCTGTGCACAAGAAACCCCTTAGCTTGAAACTTTGAGACTCGGGGGACCTGGGTGCCCCTTTCCAAAACAACTTAGAAAACAAATGACAGCCCCAGGGTTCCAAAGGTAGACCAAGGGGATCCAAGCTGCTCTCGGTGGGTGACAGTTGAAGGCTGACTCATTCATGCTTTTGTGGGGAACTTATAAAATGAAGTCTATGCTTCATCTCCAGTTGTTAAATCTGGAGTAAGACTTAAAAATATGCATTAATGGTTTTTTGTTTGTTTGTTTAATGAGCAAGTGAGGTGATCCTTATATGAAATCCGAGGACATAAAACTGCCCCATCTTTCCTGCACAGCACCCCATACTCTGGGCTGATAGCCTCTGTGTCCTGCTTTGAGCCCATCATTCATGCAAATCATAGACTCACAGGTGGTCACATGTTTTAAGCTTATGTTGAGATCTGAACCTTTGGGAGCTGGAGAGATGGCTCAGCGGCTAGGCTGAGAATGCTTGCTCTTCTTGCAGAAGACCAGAGTTCAGTTCTCAACACCCACTAGGGCAGCTCAGAACCATCTCTAAATCCAGCTGCAGGGAGTCTCATGCCTGCTTCTTTCTTGGTAGGTACCCACACCCATCCACCTATACCTACACACACACACACACACACACACACACACACACACACACGCACGCACACAAACACACAAATATTAAAAAGATCAGGAATTTTGCATTAACTTTGTTTTTAGCAGCAGCTTGGGTTTTTACACCAGCACCCACCTGCTTCCCTTTCTTCGAGCTCCCCTCCTTCCTAATTAAGTGCTTGTGAAGGCCGGGCTGGCCAGTGTCAAGCACACAGGAAGGCTAGGTTTGTGAAGCCACATTTTCCCTTATAGGATCTTATTCTTGAGCGGTTCACACAACATGACACTACAGTGCATAGACTGAAGTCACAGGAAGTGAGGTCAGACCTCCAGGTCAGCCACTTTCTGTGTTAAGATTCTTCATGTCTGTGTACTTTTCCTGTGATCTTACAGATGTCTGGCCTTAGACTTTGTGCAAGTTATGAGAATCCTCATCTCTTAGTACATGTTACTGATCTAGCCTATCTCTCAATTCTGCATCCTCCTCTGCCCCCAATCCCATCAAATGTACGCAGGAATAATGTATGGGTGGGTGGTTGGGCAGACACTGTAGCAGTTCCAGGTTTTTTTTTCATTTTTATTGATTAGTAAATTCCTCAGTTATTAGTCACAAATCACTAAGACAAAAATGTAATGAATTAAAACATTTTCATCAATGTGTTTAGCTTGTTGCCTTAGATTTTTTTTATCTTAATTGATTTTTATTAAGCTCTACATTTTTCTCTGCTCCCCTCCCTTCCTCTCCCCTCCCCTTCAACCCTCTCCCATGGTCCCCATGCTCCCAATTTTCTCAAGAGATCTTGTCCTTTTCTAGTGCCTATGGGGGATTAGATCCATGTATGTCCCTCTTAGGGTCCTTATTGTTGTCTAGGTTCTCTGGAATTGTGAATTGTAGGCTGGTTTTCTTTGCTTTATGTCTAAAACCAGTTATGAATGAGTACATTTGATATTTATCTTTCTAGGTCTAGTTACCTCACTTAATATGATGTTTTCTAGCTTCATTCTTTTGCCTGAAAATTTCAAGATGTCATTATTTTTTTCTGCTGTGTAGTACTCCATTGTGTAAATGTACCATATTTTCTTTATCCATTCTTCAGTCGAGGGATATTTAGGGTGTTTTCAGGTTTTGGCTATGACCAACAATACTGCTATGAACACATAGTTGAGCACATT